ATATAACAATTATAAAGAAAATCAAACACAATTTTAGTTTATAATAATAATATGTTATTTTATTTAACAAAAGTCATACACAAAATTAGAAGCTTCAATAATAACATTAATAATAATAATATTTACGGACTTGCCATTTTTACAATGAAGTCTTATCCTACTTATCACTTTTATTATTTATTGGGCCACGAAACGTTAGACACCACCACTGGACGTTTGAGGTTACGGTGGACCACGCAGGGCGACCGCGCCCACATTGGTTTTTTAGGAGCAAATTAATTGAAATTTGGGGATGTTTTCCCTCCCCAACCGGTCCAGTCGATGCGATTGGGCTTGGGGAGCGCACTAAATAATTTTCAGGGGTGGGCCCACCCTTATTAATTAATTAGCAGCGGCCGCGCCCAAGCCCCAAAGGGCCTAACCTGCAACGTCAGTCATCCCCAAACGTCACCCTTGACAGGCGCTTCAGTGGGCAGTGAAAGTTGGGGGCTTTTTAGCGCTTTGCGGGCAGTTCTGGCGACTTTTGCACGCGCCCCGGTATCAGCCAGTACAGCGCCACTAATTCGCCTTCACTCCGGCAGGCTGATTCATTGGATAAACCGGCCATTAGAGTGTCTGCTGTCAGGTTCGCAGGAAGGGGGCCCCCGTTTCTAGAACATGGGAAAATCGGTGAGTAATCAGGGCGCATGATGGTGGGGCCCCTTCGGGGGCTAACCGCTGGGGCTTTTAGGCGACAGTGTTTCCGGCGGCCGACTTCGATAGTGAGGCGGACGCCAAGGCGCTGCGGGAGGCTTTTAAGGGCTTCGGCACCGACGAGGCCACCGTGATCGATGTGCTGGTGAACAGAAGCAACGAGCAGCGCCGCCAGATCGCTGCCACCTTCAAGACGATGTACGGCAAGGTGAGTGAGGGCTGATGCCCCCCAAAGCCCCCAAGGGCCGCGTAGACGCTCCGAACCGTTGCAGGACCTGATGAAGGAGCTCAAGTCGGAGCTGAGGGGCAACTTCGAGGACGTTGTGGTGGCCCTGATGACCGATCCGGTCGAGTTCCAAGCCAAAGAGCTGCACCACGCCATCAGCGGCTTGGGCACGGACGAAATCACCATTGTGGAGATTCTGGGCGTGTACGACAACGAGGCTGTCGTCAACATTGGCAACGCCTACGAGGGCCGTGAGTACCCCCACCCTGAACCTCTAGCCACGCCCCTCACGCATGCTCCGATTGGTTGCAGTGTACCAGACGTCATTGGAGGCGGACATCAAGGGCGACGCCTCCGGCCACTTGAAGCGCCTGCTCGTGTCGCTGGCCAATGTGAGACCCATTTAGCGCGGGCGCCGTTGCCAGGTTGCCGGTAAAGTGTGTGATTTTTGTGGCAGGGGCACCGCGACGAGTCCGATCAGGTGGACGAGGAGGCGGCCAGAGGCGATGCGCAGGCGCTGCTTCAAGCCGGCGAGCTCCTATTCGCTGGCACTGACGAATCAGTGTTCAACATGGTAAGTGGTGTGGGGGGGGGGGCGTGTTCACTGGCAATGTTTGACATCATCATTGGCGATGTTTCAGATACTCTGCCAACGGAATCGGGCGCAACTCAGGCGCATTTTCCACGAATACGAGGAAATCACCGGCCATTCCATCGAGCAGGCGGTGGAAAACGAGTTTTCCGGCACCGTCAAGGACTCGCTGCTCCAGCTGGTGCATTGCGTGAGGGACCCAGTGGAGTTTCTGGCCGCCAGGTAGGAGTCGCTCTGGCAACGCCGCTAACTAGTAACGGTTTTTTCTGCGCAGACTGCACGACGCCATGGCAGGCATCGGCACCGACGATCGCACTCTCATCCGCATCGTGGTTGCCAGATCGGAAATCGATCTGGGCGAGATCAAGGAGGTCTACGAGGCGAAATACGGAAAGTCGCTGGCGGAGCGCATTGAGGTAGGCGGCCTCCCCATTGGTCGATTAATGCCGCTAATTCTCGCCAATTTCCAGCAGGACTGTTCCGGCGACTACAAGCGCACCCTGGTGGCGATTGTCAGCTAATTTAAGTCCAATGCTTTATTTTCAGCGGTGGGTGGTTTGCTTTTCTAGGTTAGGACCAAATATTCTATGCCAATCTGCGCCTTAGTTCACTACAGTAGCTTTGCATGTTTATAATCAATCATGATATTAATAATAATAATAATAAACGCTTGACGGCCACAAGTTTMGTTTTGAATCAAGCCCAGCTATGCAAGTGTGCGCGAGCGTRTGTAGATGGCAGCAGCAACAATCCAGTAAGAGTAATTGATTAGGTCTTAGTACTAATCGGTGTCAGTTGTTGCAAACTTTTTGGTTTTTCCGCTGTTGCTCATAGAGGAAWTTTTTTTTCWACCAACCAAAGTCGATKTATCATGTAACTTTTTCATATCTAACCAACTGTCCGATAAAATCTAAAAAAAAAAAATAAAAATTTTTAGGCCAAAAATTTTGGTGGGTCAATTTGTCAATATGTCAAAAACACGGAATAATGTGACASAGTAATTMGAGTGAACAATGAGAGGCGGGCCAATAAATAACGTTTTAATAGAGAGTAGTTGTTATTGTCAGGTCACCTGACTCGCTACTGTTATCTACGCGCAGCCAGAGAGAGCCACATCCACTGCCAAAACTCCCTCGTTAGACTAGTGTGACACTTTCATAATGACAACGGGCGAATTTTGGCAGTGAATCTCGCGCGTGCCGGCAGATGGCGGCTCATAGAGCTATGCGGTTTTGGTACGTTGGCGCCATCTGAGCACACGCGGGCGAATTTCGGCAGTGATAGCCTCGTGGGTGTAGATGGCGCTCAACCAACACTTGCTTAAGCGCCAGCTGCGCTCAGGTGTAGGCGCAATTGTGGCAGTGACTCGCTCTCTCTCGCACTCGCCTGTTGGTATATCCTAATGATATGCCTGCTATGAGATTTCCATGCAATTTCCCTACTTAACTCCTAGACTGGATTACACAAGGCCCTACTATGTACAGGATGCCGCCTGGGGATGCAATCGAAACGTCTGGCTTTGGTCCGCGGTCAGGCGCCAGTTGAGCTTCGGATTCTGCGCGCTGGAGGGCGGCGACGTCACACGGTCGTCACCCGGTCAATTTCCACGTAGCGCACAGAATTGTCGCTGTGTCAGCTACAGATCACGCCCTTCTCGTCGATGATGGCCGTGTCCGAGGAGAGGCTCTGCAGACGCGTCTGCAGAATCGATCGGGGTGGGCGTCTGCACAGCTTCCACATCAGAAACACCAGCACGGCGCTGGAGAATCGCCAATAAATCAACTGGGAAGTTTTTTGGGATGTAAAAACTGACCAGGCAACGAACAGGAACACGCCGCCGAAGAACAGATAGGCTGGAGGCAGCTGCAGCAGCACCGAGCAGTGGACGAAGGCCTCGTCCACGCCCGAGGGACAGTCCAGGACGCCGTCGCACCACACCGAGGCGTTGATGCAGGCGTCCAGCTCTGGACAGCGATATTGGCAGTGGTTGGGCTTGATCATGAACATGCCCAGCCCGTCGGGGGGCAGGTCCTTTCTGGAACAGTCACCCTTCACTATGCAAACCGCCCCTTTTGGGGCGCGAACCCACCTTCTGGCCAGCTCCAGCCACAGCACTGGGTAGCGGCCCGCCTCCCGCCCGTAGAACTCCACCACCACGGTGCGCGGCAGCTCCTTGCCCAGCTGGTCCACCGCCACCGCGTCCAGGGACAGTTGTCCACTGGACGCGCGCCATCCCTCGGAGAAGACCTCCACCATGCGCTCCCTGGACACGGCAGGCTCTGGACAGATCAGCGCGCTGTACAGCGCCGTGTGGACGACGATGCGGTTGCGCGTGCGGCAGGCGTGGCCGGTGCGCGACGTCGACCTGCAACCGCCCACCTGCTAAGCGCCGCCCACAATGGGCGCAGCCGCGCTCACCTCAGCGTGTTGTTGCCCCCCCACCGGCTCGCATGCGTCAGGATGGCTCCGCCCACCTTCACGTAGAGGAACTTGCTGTTGCCGGGCAACAGCACGCGGGGGCTGGACTCGCAGTTGGCCTCCGCCCCTAGGGCGGGGTGGTGGAACGTCAGCTGCCCATTCGGCCCGCTGCGCCGCAGGCCCAACGCGCAGACGGGCGTGCGGATCACCCTCCAACTGCCCTCGAAGAAGAGCGAGCTGAAGTCGTCGGACGCGTTCATGCTGGTGACGTCGAAGCGCAACTCCACCACGCGGGAGGAGGACACGTAGGTGTAGGGCAGCAGCTTGTCCTTGTCCACCCCGCACAGACAGTCCCTGGGGATGGGCGGGACGTCCGCCCAGGGCACCTCGAAGAAGCGCAAGGTGGCCGTGACGTTGCCGGCGCACTCCAGCCGCTCGGTGTCGGGGTTCAGTAGCGTGGCGCAGCGCCGGTTCATCATGCGCACCTCGCTCAGCGTCACCTTGATGCGCTCGCCCTCGCGCGCCTCGAAGCGGTACACGCAACTGCAACGCAACAGCTTAGTTAGTGGCTGCGCCCGCGCAGGCCTCCTGCGCAGCACCTGATATTGTGCGAGCCGCCGCGCCCATACAGGAAGACATCGGCCGGCGCCCTGAACTTCTGCAGGCTCTCGTCGGACAGCGCGGCGAAGCGGCGCGAGCAGGGCCCCGCCCCAAAGGGCTCGCCGTCGAGGTGCAGGTCGACGAACTCGTACAGCGCCTTGAAGCTCACCGGCCTGGAACAGGGGGGGGGTGAAACGCGCCCCTTGGCGGGAGCTGCACTCACCTCAGCGCCGTGGACTCGGCCAGCCGCAGCTCCAGCGTGAGCGTGTCGCCTGACGTCAGATAGCTCTCGGTCAGGGCGCAGGGGCGCGGGAAGCTGGACACGTTGGGCGCCAGATGGCGCTCGCAGCTGCGCGGCACGTGCTCCCGGCAAAAGCGCGCCAACAGCGTCACGTTGCGCCCCCCCTTGGCTGCGGCCGCCGGCCGCGAGATGGCGTTGGACGCAAAGTCCGCCTTGTTGTACTTCACCTTGCTGCCGCTAGTCAAACGCAAAAAATGACAACGTCATTTGGATTCAACGTCACTAACCTAAACATTTTAAGTATGTTTTGTTTATGGAAATTTCACAAGAGGGGAGCGGGAGGTCGATTTTTCCAAAAAATTCAAGTTACTCAAAATACCTCGAGTGATACACCATTTTCATCGGAAAGCGACAAGGAATATATATACTAGCCGTAAACCCCACGCGAATGTATACAAGCCTGCCATAAACAAAACAAACTTAAAATTTTTAGGTTAGTGACGTCCATGACAGACGCTACTGCAATGCGCGCCTCGTCCGCAACTTACCAGAACAAGCCCTGGCAGTTGCTGGGTTGCCACAGCTGCCCGTCCCAGACGTTCAGGTAGCTGCGGCACATCAGCTCGGGCGGCTGCGCCTCCCGGGCGCCGTCCGCGTGGAACTTGACAATTGACAGCCAGACGCGGTAGCGGGGCGGCGGCGTGAGCATGCCCACCGAGCGCCAGTCGGCGTTGATGGGGCGCAGGTTCCCCGCCGGCGTCGCCCTGGGCGCCTCCATGCCCTGAAACAGCGCCCCAACAGTGGCGGGTCACGCGGGTCACGCGCCGCTCACCTGCAAGTGGTACAGGCAGGTGGTGTTGGCGGGCAGGGAGTGCAGCGGGCTCTGCAGGGCGCCGCGACTGTTGCCGCGCACCCAAAACTCGCACGTGCGCTTCTGCTTGATGAAGCTGGGCGACTGCTGGTCGACGAACTGCACCTCGACCTCCAGCTGGAAGCCGTGCAGCGCGTGGGCGGGCGCCGGCTGCAGGAACGTCCCGTAGGGCGACGTGGAGAACTCCACCAGCAGCTCGTGGCCGCTGGACGTCACTTCCGGCACCGCCTCCCCGCCGCCGCAGAACTTCAGGATGACGGCGTCGCGCGTCGTGTAGCTGCAACCGGAAATTGGGCTGATTAGGGCGGCGCTTCCGGCGCGAGTGGCGCGCCCCACCCGTCGTAGGCCACCACGTAGTCCTGGACCTGGTCGCATTGCGCCCACACGCGCAGCTGCTGGGGCGTGGCCGTGCCGTGCAGCGCCGCGTCGCTGCGGATGGACACCAGCTGCCCCTTGGGCTGCCGCACCGTGATAAGGGCGTGTTTGCCTGCAACCGATTTCGCCCTCAAATGGCGTCTGGGGGGCGCTCGCGCCACTCACCGGGCGGAATTTCGTGCTGGCGCACCGCATAGTAGCAAGTCAGGTTGCGGGGGTAAACCCCTGGGAAGTTGGGCGATTGAAGACGGCAGTGCTTCTTATCACAGTCGCTGAATATGCGGGAACAGTAAGTGCCGCTGATCAGCTCCCCCAAGTAGTACTCGGGCTCGGGCGCGATCGTCGGCAGCGTGAGGTTGGAGTACTCCAAAGGCGGACCTGGAACGCGTCAGCGTGACCAAAAAATCTCCAAAAAAACCCAGACTCACTTCCGCCGTAGCGCACGATGGCGGCGCGCCTTTTCAAAAACTTGTACCCCATGCGGTAGTCGAAATTGTAGCCGTTCTCCACCTTGGAGAGCTTGAGCAGCTGCACGTGGAGCGTGACCGACTGCGCCTCGCTGTAGTACATCACCGGGCCCCAAGATGTCCCGCACCAGGCCCCGCCCACCTGCAAAGCACGCAACTACCCATACACGACCGGCCAAAGTTGCGCGGGCAGCGCCACCTACCTGCGGACGATTGAACTCGCTGATCTGGAGGGCCCCGTCGGGGCAGCCCTCGCTGGTGAACGACACGAAGCGCCCCAGAGTGAAAGAGTCGAAGGTAATCTGCGCGGGAATGGCCGAAATATTTTTCAAAAATTATTTAAAAAATATCCACACCCACCTGGACCAAGTCGCCAAAAACGCCGCCTGCGGCGGTGAACGTCAAGTCGCAGATGAAGGGAATTTTGTCCTCCTTGGGCCTGTGCAGCTCCAGCTGGTAGGTCTTGCCGGTCGTGCCCGAGTACGTGCGGTTGCATCCTGGAAAATTGGCAACAGTCAAAAACCACCCGTCCAACATGGCGGCAATTCAAATTTGAGGCTATTTTCAAATTTAATAAATGACAGTAAATTACATGGTCTGGACACAGAATGACGTCTGTTGCGAAATGTTGAACTGGACTTGACTACCCAACCAGCTCTGGCCCTTAATAATGAAAGAAAAATGAGTGTACCGAAACTCGATTTTCGGACCTGGCAACCCTGCATAGACGCTTGTGCCGCGCCGTGCAGACCCTAACCCAACAATGCAGTTCCCTGTCATGCTGTTGACAAGCAACGACTACCGTCAGTCCGAGACGGAAAAAGAGCCCCACAACCTGCTGCTGGACTTCAGGGGCGAGTGGGGCCCCCCTGGCAGTGACGCGGGGCTGCGCCTCAACGCGCAGCTGCCCTACCCAGTGGGGCCGCCCTTGGCGTCCCCTCAGACCAAGCAGCGCCCCGACCAGTCGCTCAAGCCCTACAACGCGGCGCTGCTGGACGACGTGGAGGACATTGAAGGAGCCCCGGCCGACTACAAGTACCTGCCCCATAAGCTGCTGGAAGCGCTCGACGCCCTCGAGCCCGAACTGGGCCCCGATTTCGCCCACTACCACTCTGGCGGCTGTTTGGGGGCCGTCACCCTCCAGCGGACTGTGTACTTGGTGTGGCCCCACTGCGGCGGCCTGCTGCAGTTCTGGAGCCCCACAGGCGAGGGGTTCAGTGTGGGGGGCTTGCCCCCGGACCCTGTTCTAGGGCTGGAGGCCTACAGCAGCCCCAAGGAGTGTTGGATAGTGTTGCGCGCCAAACTGCAAGTGCTGGTGTTGAGTGTGGCGGAGCCCCGCGCCTATCGGGTGGCTTATAGCGAGTGCTCGCGCGCCCCCTTCCTGGACGCGCAGCTCCAGGGCCAGCTGCTAGGGCTGGTGCAGCTGGGCAAAGGCTTCAGCCTCAAGGACATCGGGGGCCCACGCGTGGCGTTTCGCCTGGCGGCCAGTGAAGTGCGGAAATTTGCGTTCGCCCCCCCCAACCGGGTGGTGCTGATGGAGCCCTGGCTGGTGACTGTGCACGATTTCGCCGAAAAGACGCTGCTGCAACGTTTCGACCCGCAGCTGATGGCGTGCAATCAGCTGTGCAACCTGCGGATGGCCGGCGGGAATCTGCTGCTGGCCACGCGCCATTATCTGCTTGCGGCCCCCCTGGACTGCCTGGAGGGCTTTGGGGCGTTCGCCCACGGCCTGAGCAGCGCTCCCCTGCATCTGGAGGCCCTCGGGGCGCTGGTGTGTCTGGGGGGGCGCTGGGGCGCGGTGGCCTTCGTGGAGGGCACGCCCTTCGGGCTCCCCTGCCCGCTGCCCTCGCTCAAGGACAGTTTAGAGGCC